TTGATTTAATCAATTCATCTTTGAAATGGTTAATTCGATTTTATTTTATATATATATATAAAAAATTACAACATACCAAAGATCAAAAAATTTTTTTATAATGAAAAAAATTATCTTTTTTTTATGTTACCTACTCTGGTGTAACAATTGGATATATTTAAAAAAAATATCTTGTAATTGAAAGATGTGGAAAAGGAATCAAATAGAAAATGAAAATACAAACGATGAGACAATTTTGGCTTTATATAGTTGATTTGCTTAAAAATAATCTTTAATTAAATAATCTTTTTATTACACTTTTTATAAAAGAAAAGTCGATTTTAGATTCTTTGAATTTTTTGACCAATAGAATCTATTTATTTATATTTAAGGATCCTGATTTTTCATTTTATATCTGATATATATATATATATTTTTATTTTTATTCTTGTTTTCACAAAATTACGCGTTTTATCTTTAATTTTTAATTTCAACAAAATCTTCAATTTTTCAAAGTTTATCCAAAAATTTTCTTAAAATTTCAAGCTTTTTACTAAATTGACAATGGGTGAACAAGCAAAATCAATACAATTTGAAGGAATTTTTTATGGACTTTCAAATTTTCCAGGAATTCTTAAACTCGCTTCAAGTGGGCTTGGTTGGAAGACATCGTACACTAGCAATATTGTTACAATCTCTGCTGAAGAATTTAAGAAAATCCAATGGTATAGAGTAGCTCGAAATTATCAGTTGTGTGTAATTTTGAAGAGTGGAAATTCTGCTCGATTTGAAGGATTTTCACAAGAGGTATTGTCAAACTAAATTATTTTCCGAAATTATTTAATTTATTTATAAACAAATTTATTGTGTAATTTAGTCATTAGGAACCCTTAAAGATTTTATAAAATTAAATTATAAAATGACATTGGAAGTGAGGGAACTTAGTCTAAAAGGATGGCATTGGGGAAAACATGAATTTCAAGGTAACTTAATAACATAACAAATAATTTTTAAAAACAAATTATAATATAGATCTATTTTAATGATTTTATTTATAAAGGAACACGGCTAGCATTTGCTGTTAACAATAAAACAGCATTTGAAATTCCTTTATCACAAGTAGCCAACTCTAATATAGTAAATAGAAATGATGTCTGTCTTGAGTTTACACTATCTGAACCAACATCAAACAATTCAAGTAAAGGATCCCAAACTCATGATCCAGTTGAAATGAGATTTTGTATACCAGGGACATCAATAGTTAAAGACGAGAATGCTGAGAGTGGAAAAGAGGAGGTGGAAGATGAAGAGATGGAGGATGTGGAAGATGGCGAAGGTGGTGAAAAAAAAGATATTGAAGAAATAAGTGCTGCAAAAGTATGTAGTGATTTTTATTAGAAGCTTTTATAATGTATAATTGATTGAACAGTTAATAATTTTAATATTCATGTTTTTTCTTCGTATATGCTAAGTTGTTTCATGAAACTGTTAAACACAAAGCAGACCTTGGACAAGTTTCAGGAGAAGAAATTGTCTTATTTCAAAATATCTTACTGCTTACACCTCGGTATGTTTATCATTTATTCAAGCGCACACACACATATATGTAAAGATTTATTATTAACGATTTATTTTATTTTATAATCAATAAAAAATTATTTATTTTAGTGGGCGATATGATATTCAATTATTTGCAAGTTTCTTCCGATTACGAGGAAAATCATACGATTACAAATTACCATATAATATTATTGTCAATTTATTTCTATTGCCAAAACTTGATGATCACCATATAATGTTTGTTGTAATGTATCTAGTATTGAATTTTGTTTTAATATTGATGAATTATTATTTTACAAATTAATAGTTGATTAATTAAATATTATCATTAATTATCATCATCTAAATAGATTGGTTTAGATCCACCATTAAGGCAAGGTCAGACATCATACCCTTACTTAGTATTACAATTTGAAAATGAACAAGAATCTGACATATTTTTGAATATTGATGAGTATATATTAGCATTTAAATTATCATCATCATTAATTTTTTATTATATTTATGATTTATTATTTAATACTTTTTTTAAAAATAATAATAATAATAGTGAGGTAAATGAGAGAGAATTTGAAGGTAAATTGGAACCTAAATACGAGAAACCTTTAGATAAAACATTTAGTCTTATTTTTAGTATAATAACAAAAAAGAAAATAATAAAACCTGGAGGTTTCTTAAGGTTCTTCATTAATTATTTTGTTTTGTTTTGTTTTATTATTAATATTTTCGATCAACTAATCATTAACAAATCAATCAATTGATTGATCAATTTTAGTTCAGAGGATAAGTCAGCAGTTAAATGTTCTTTGAAAGCAAATGAGGGTTATTTATACCCACTTGAAAAATGTTTTATGTTCATTCCCAAACTTCCTACATACATACCAATTCAAGATACACTTAGTGTTTCATTTTCCAGGTCTTTAAGATATTAAAATATTTAATTATGTAGAGTAAATAGCATAAATATAGTTTAACAATCTTTTCTCTGTGTGTATATAGAGTATCACAACAATCCAAGAAGAGTACAGCAGTACCACAAGCTAGAACTTTTGATATAAAATTTCATACAAAAAATGGCACGGAGTATCAATTCTCCAGCATCAATCGGTATAGTTATTTAATTTACATATATGTTGTGTGTGAGAATTAAATCAACCAATCAATAGAGGGAATCTCGCACCCAAACTCTTCCATTTTTGATTATTATTATAAAATTTCAAATCCACGCAATTCATTTTTTCACTTACGACATATTAATTAATGCAGTAATTAATGTGATTTTGGTTTTTTTTTTTTCATAATAGACAAGAATTTGAAAATTTATTTAAATTTTTAAAAGAAAAGAATATTCATACAATTATTGAATCACCTGATGAAGTATTTATGATAATAATAATAATAACATTGAATTTATAAAATTATTTATAAGGTTATAATAAATGTTTACTAATATATGTATACATGTATTTTTAGGGCACAGTCAGTTATGCTGAACTTATTAATGAAATTGGTGACTCAGATGATGATGAAGTGATGCCATCTGGTAAAAATAGATCAACTGATAAAATGGATGTTGACGATGAAGATGAAGATGATTCAGGTATAATTGAATATTAATGAAAGATGATTTATAAAAAATTTTTCTTGTAAAATAAACATTTCCAAATAATAACTTTATAGTCGATGAAGATTTTGAAGACTTTGAAGAAAGTGATGTGACTGAAGAATATGAAGAAAATCCTTGATTTTTTTTCGATGCAGATTAAGATTAAGCCTAATTTTAATTTTGAATTTACAATAAATAAATATATTATATTATAATTTTACAAAAAAATAATTGATTGTTCTTATTATATAGTCTATATTAATATAATTCGATCATCTTTTTTCTTTCTGTATATTCTAAATAATAAATATATTATTTAGTATCAATAAAGGGAGAAATGAACGACTATAAATATCACCTAAAATTTTTTACACAGGTTTTATATTCAACATCTAAGTGCCTAATCGTTTCATCATATTCTTCTAAACTTATCTCCATGATTGATGAGAGATAAGATTTAATAATTTCTATTGAATCAGTCAGAACCTGTCTCACCTATATAATCAAATAATAAAGATTATTTATTCGCCATCATAAAAGCATTATATTAATTTATTAAAATTACCACTACAAAATAATATATTTTACCATTTCACCAACCACACCATGACCACCTAACGTAGAATTTTTAATTTGATGACTAATTTCAATTATTTTATCTGTAGTTATTAATTTTTCTTCGATAGATTTATGAATTGATCCATCTATTATATCTCATGATTTGTGCTATTAAATAGCCTGATAACATTAAGCAGCTTATTAAATGGTTCTTTACAGTGATAAATTTTGTTGTCACTGGAATAACAGCTTACTCTCGTAACAAAGTTTATGCAAAAAAAGCATTGTATAAACGTAAGAAAACAGCAATAGAGAAGTCAACAGCTAAACCACCTACTACTAAAACAGTTTCTATCGGAGGTGATAAAAATGGTGGACAACGTGTTGTTCCTCTGGAAAAAGCTCCAAGATTCTATCCTGCTGAAGATGTTCCACATCCTAAAAAGTCTCGCAAACTAAACAAACCAACCAAACTTCGTTCCTCCATCACTCCTGGTACTGTTTTGATTTTGTTGTCTGGCCGCTTTCGCGGAAAACGTGTAGTCTTCTTAAAGCAACTTCCAAGTGGTTTACTGCTTGTCACCGGTCCATTCAAAATCAATGGTGTACCATTAAGACGTGTTAATCAAGCTTACGTGTTGGCCACATCAACAAAAATTGATATCTCTACTTGTTCAGTAAGTTCGTCATCATCACTCTTTGATATTTATTATAGGTTTATTACAAATATCATGTGTATATTTATGTACACGTTTTTTTAATAGTTTGAGAAATTTGATGATACATATTTTAAGAGAGAAAAGGAGGCTAAAAAGAAATCTACAGAAGAAGAATTTTTTGATCAAGAACAAAAGGTACTATAATAATAATCATTATTCATCATTATTACATTAAAATAGTAATAAATTTAAAATTAAAAATAAATTTTTTTTATTTAAAGACAAAGAAAACAGTTTCAGAAGTCAGGCTTACTGATCAAAAGGATATTGATGGAGGAATCGTTGCCAGCTTAAAAAAAGTTCCAGATCTTGCTGATTACTTGGCTTCTAGATTTACACTTACAAAAGGTCAACACCCTCATAAAATGGTTTTCTAAATAATAAAATAAAATAAAATGTTCATGATACTAAATTAAAAATATTATATTTATACAAAAAGATTGAGGTTTTTTTTTGGATTTAATAAATAATAATTGTTAATTTTCTATTAAATTTGATTTTATTTCAAGAAAAATGCACATAAAACCCTTTAAACCTTTAAATAGACTCGAAAGATTTTATTTTCACCAAAGCAAAAAAAAAAAAATATTCATCTTGTCTAGGTCAAAGATGTTGTGAAACTTTTTTTTTCATTTATATAGATGAGGCGCATGAAATATCAGACATGTTTGAGAATTATAATGTTATCTAGCATTCTGCAAACGAAAAAATCATATTTTAACGCTTGAATAATTATATACCCTTTACTTCAAAAGTCTCTATGAATTAAGTCAAGTATCCACGTCTGCTTGTTAAACTGGGATGTCAACTGAGCACAATTGGTAGAACCAGTGTATTTTATTCAAATCTCAGTTGAGAAAATTTAGGTAAAATTTATTCTCTAACATTTATTGCAATATTAATAACCAAAGCAATAGAAAGAAATACAATATCATCCAAACTCATCTCTATCTGGCTTTGCAGCTCTTATGAGTCCTAGTAATTTAACAACATACTTACGTGTTAACAAAACCAGATGAGAGTTTTCTTAATGTTGCTTGACTTTCAAGTAATCCGTCATCAACAGGATTCATCTAAAAAGGAGTCGGCTTAAAAATTGCTAGTGAAAATTTTTTTATTAAATTTCTTTATAAAATACTAATTTTTTTTTAATTACTAAATTGTCTATAAATACAATAAATAATAATATTCATCCAAATAAAATTTTTTCAATAAATAATCAAGAAAAAATTCCCACAAAGAATAATAAAAAACAATTAATTATGGTATATTTTTGACCAAGTTTATTAATTGTTTAACACCGACAATCCTAAAAATAATCATCGTTTAAGTAATATTAACATGTAAAGAATTTTTAAATTATATTTTAATAATGCTTACCATTTTCCACAAGAGTCCATTCTAGTAGTCATCAAATTAAGTTGAAGGCTATTTGCTAAATTATAATCACGAGCTTCCATTGCTAAAAAGATATAAATATATAAATAATAAATTATTTTTTCAATTAAACCAATTATAAAATCGATTGACTTACCTCGAACTATTTCCATCATTGATTCAATCACATCAGGTAAAATATCTTCATTATTTAAAGCATCAAATAAAATGTTGAGACGTTTCTCTGTATCATCTAATAATTTTTTATTATGAGGCTTCATATTTTAATAAAAAATTTTTTAAAATATTAGTAAAGATGGCATAAATGTAACATAAATAACAGAATTTTCAAAATTAGTCAATTTACAGGATTTTGTCTTGCTCTCGATAATTCTCTGGACAGAACATCAAATATTGGTTTATGTGCATCAGGAATATGAGATCTGTCACCAGGAGCTAAATAAAAAAACATAGAAAATAAGAATATTGATAAAATATATAAATTTTGAATGTTTGTAAAAATAATAATAAACTTACAATGTTTATTTACAGGAGTTTTCGCAGGAGTTGGTGCTCTTGCAGGAGTTGGAGTTCTTGCAGGAGTTGGAGTTCTTGCAGGAGTTGAAGCTTGTGGTGATTGTGAAGGAACTGGTGGTGCTGTTGGTGGGACAGCAGGCTGTTGAGTAGTACGAGTTTGTGGTGGTGGTAAATTTGTTGGTTGTGCAGTTTGTTGATATGGACCAGCACCACCTGGAGGTTTACGATTTGCATAAGCTGCTGCAGCATTTTGTGGAGATTGTTGTTGCTGATGCTGTAGTTGCTGTTGCTGGTGCTGATGTAGTTGGTGCTGCTGATGCAGTTGTTGATGATGTAGTTGTTGTTGCTGTTGTTGTTGATGATGTAGTTGCTGTTGCTGTAGTTGCTGTTGCTGTAGTTGCTGTTGCTGTTGCTGTTGCTGTTGCTGTTGTGGCGGTAATAATGACGGTGGTTGATACTGTTGAAGTTGCTGCGTTTGTAATGGTGGTGGATAATGTAATGGTGGTGGTGGTTGTTGTTGTTGTTGTTGTAAGTGAGGAGGAGGAGGTGGAGGTGGCAATTGTTGCTGTTGCTGTTGTAATTGTGGAGGAGGGGGAGGAGGGGGTAAGATGCCTTGTTGTCCTTGTAATTGAACAGGAGGAGGCACCATACCTTGTGGTACAAATGTATTTTGGTTTTGGAACGGGGTTGTAATTGGAGTTAGTTTATTAACTTGAGTTTGATTAGTTTTTTTGGCAAGTTGAGATGATGGAACAACAGGTGGATCATTCCAATTGGCAAGGTTTTTTTTGTTTGCAGCAGGAGTAATATCTGTTGGTGAGTTTTGATTCTGAACATTAGGGTTTGCAAAAGGTTGCGGAGGTGGTGGGATAAAACTTGTATTGGTAGTAGTCGTAGCGGAATCTTGATATTGAGGTTGATTATATGCAGGATAAACTGGCTGCTGATACGGATAACCAGTATTAGTTTGATTTTGAATTGGTGAATTATATTGTGGAGCATATGGATTATTGTTATATGGCGTTTGTTGAGTTTGTTGATAAGGAGGCACATTTGGAGCTACAGGTTGTTGATTATAATTGTATTGATTAAAGTAAGGTTGTTGTGCAGCTATTAGCGGATCAGCTATTTGTTGTTGTTGCTGTTGTTGTTGTGGAGTATATGCTTGGGCAAAGTTTTGATTAATTTGTGCAGCAGGGTATGCAGATGTATCAGTAGGTGCAATGGCTGTTGGAATTATTTCACCTTCACCAACAACGTGTTTCTCTTCAAATGGAAATGGTGGTGCTTTAGTTCCACCAACATCAACTCCAGATTTATATAAACGATCTCTAACCACAGCCAAAGAATCGATTTTATTAATATTGGATTTTTTATAATCTATTGGTGTTAAATTTAAATATTTGAGTGCAGTGGTTAATCGTCCTTGAGATATTAATATTTCAGCATATTCGGTATACTTGTCATATAAAGGAGCTAGTTTATAATGGCGATGTGGTTGTTGTTGATTTAAATCTACTGATCCATCCAAATTTTGAATCAAATCTGAATCAACATAATCAATTGCTTTACGAAACACGGTAACCTTTTCAATTAAACTCTGTAAAGATTTTGCATGATAAAAGAATTTAGAGGAAGGACTTGGGAGTTCTGACGATGATGATAAATTTTGAGTGGCTTTCTCAAGTAAACTTTGTTCCTCCTCCTCTTGTTCAGCAATCCAAATGTTAACCACATTTTCTAAATTTCCTGCTGCCAGATAACATAAAACTGCATTTCTTCTATATTCTGATCCTTGTGCTTTCATTTCATTGGTTGCTGAATAATTTGTCAATTTGTGATATTCCTTTTCAAGTCTTTGACCTAGTGCATTACACAATCCTCCGAACTCCTCAGATCGAGCAAAAGTACACAGTACCACAACAACTTCTTGCCATTCAGAGAGGTCTGCGTTTAGTACAATGTCTGATAAATCACCTGAAACTATACTTTGAAGAAGACGTAAATAAGGAATAGTGGATGCATGTTTTTCAAAATATATTTTACGAGTATGTTGTAAAAGTTCAGGACCACCACAACCAGCTAAAATCAAAGCATCGGACAATCTATCAGCCTCAAGACACAATTTGACAGCTGATTCAAAGTCACCGAGTACAATGGATCTAGTGATAAGTTTGTCAACATCAGATTCTTGTGTTGGATAAATTTTGAAGGCACCCAAGTTTTTTGGTATTGGTGATGACGACGTAACAGCAAGTATCGAAGTGGGGTCGTCAGTATTTGTAATAGGAAATGGATCACTATTTATAACATCTGGACTAAAAAATTTGGAAGCCTCTGCATCACTGCCAGATATGTTTGAACTTGAAAAAAGTTCATCAACAGTTTCTGATCTACTTGCTAATGATTCTATAACACTTGATTCATCGCTAACAGAAGGAGTAGCGTTAGTAATTGTGGTGGTGATGGTAGTGGTAGTGGTAACTTTATCATTATCATTAACATTTTTTTGTTTTTTATTGTAATCAATGATATCTGATTCAGTGTGATCTTTCAGATTCATAGCTTTTAATGCATCTGAAATTTTTGCAACAATATCTTCTTTTGAGAAACCAAGATTTTTAACCAATAGTTCTCTAGCATTTTCATTTTCATTAAACATTGTATAAAGAATTCTCCAATTTTCAGATTCAAACTCACTGGTTGCTTGTTTTTCACGTTTTTCACAAAAAACATCTAAGGTTTTTGCCTCCACAGAATTTTCCAATTCATCAGAACTTTTAGCAACTTCAGGTTCTGAAACTATATTTGAAATAGCTACGACACCTTTTTTTGTTGCAGTCTTATTATTGAATGATATTAATTTTCCACCAAATCCAAACGATACACCAATTGGACGCCTTAACCATTTGGGAGGTAGTTTAAGAGTAAGCGATGGCTCATTATCTCTTGCGATTTGTGAAAATGGATCATTACTATCTATTGAATAGGTTTCATTCTGATTACGTCCTGATTGTAAAGAATGAACACTAATCTTTTTAAGTTAAAAAAAAAAAAATAAATAAATAATAATAAACTTTTAAAAAAAAATAAAATTAATAAATAAAATTGATACCTTTCCATCAAAAGAAGCTGTAGCCAATAAATCAGGATTTGTAGGACAAAATTGTACATCAAAATACCAATTTGAACTTGGAGGAAGCTTAAAAATGTATATAAATCTTTTTTATTATTTAAAAAGATACTTTAAAATAAAAATAATGTAAATTCAACATTAATATGTATAAAATACCTCTCCCAATATTTCAAGAGTTCTTGGATTCCAACATAGTGTCCTATTATCTTTACCACAAGAAAGTAGCAAATCTGAATCTTTTTTACACCAAGAAAGTGACAAAACACCTCTTTGATGACCAACCAATATCTAAATAAAATAAATTTGTACAAATTAAAAACTAATTAATAACCCAACGATTTAATAATTAATAATAAGTAAATTACTTTTTCAGGAGCTCTTGCATTACGAAGATCCCAAACAACTATCACAGGATTGTTATCATCTTCTGATGCTACTATAATTTGTGTAGCCTTTTTTTTTAAAAAAAAATAATAAATAAATATTACCAATTATCAAATAAAATAAAAATCGTTAAATGATTAAATATATTTAAGAATGAATACCAAATCAGGATTCCAAGCTACAGCTGTAGCACCTCTTCTACCAACTCCACCACTTAATCCAACGGCTGAATCAGGAACTGAATATGATAATGTTGTAACTTCACGTTTAAATTTCAAATCCCACACTACAGTACAACCAGTGTTTGAAGATGTTGCTAAAATATGTTGTACTTGATTATTCCAAGCAAGGTGAGATATTTCTTCAAGATATTTTGATCTGGTTCCAGGGGTATAGGGTTTGTCTGGTTTTGTAAGATCCCAAATAAATACCTGAAAGTGAAAAAATAGTTTAGAATGAATGAATGAATAATTTATCATGAAAAAATTTTAAATAAATAATAACAATAGAATTCATACTTCGCCATTAGTTGCACCTGATGCCAATAAATTACTTTGAAAATTATTAAAAGCTAAACCACGAACATTTCCGGTATGAGCATTATTCCTTAGTATTAATGCCTTTTCAGAACTTTATCAATTTTTTTAATTGATAATTAAATTATTATAAAATAGAATATATAAAAGATAAAATCAATTTATTTTAAAAAGAATTTATTTTCTAATTTTATAGAGTCATATGATCAAATTATGGAGAAATGAAATAAAAAATAAATTTATCAAGACTCACTCGCCACCCTCTAAAATAATTGACGGATCCCATAAATCCAATTCACCATTTTCCATCCCACCGGCAATAATTCCATAAGGTTTATCAGCAGCAATCCCCCATGCTAAACGATCAAATCTATAATCAAATATATACAAAAAATTATGTACTATATCATATTTCAACAATCAAAACTTCAAAATCAATAACAGTAATAAAGTATGAACCTTGCATTACTGGTAACTAAGCCAGAAGGTTGTTGTAAATTAAAACTTGAATCATTTTGATCTAAATTAAGGTGAAAAAGTTCTAATTCTGTTGTATTTGAAAAGGAAGCATCAAGAGCACCAGCTACGGTTCCAGTTGCAATTATAGGAGAATTTTGGCCAGGACTCCAAGCAAAGGTAGCTGTACGCGATATTTCTTTTAATTTCATCTTTTAATTTTTATTAGAATTTAGTTTTTTTTTTCAAAAAAAAATTTTAAAATATGGTAGATCAATCAATAAGAAGATAAACGTGGCAAGAATGAATTTGACGAAGGGTAATTGGCCTATTAATTTCATATAGGAAAGATTTTCAATAAATATTACGTAAATTCAAATACATAAGTAAACTCGACAAGTCGCCAAAATTTTTCAGCCCTTTTTTTCAATACTTAAAAATCTCCGATAAGTCGGTCAATCTATATAAAATCGCGATAAGCTGTAAGTCGGCCAACCCTTATTCTAGAATATATTAGATATGTAAATTACCCTCGATAAGTCGGTCTCGTATGATATTTGCATTGAGTGAAAGGTCATCATTACTATTTTTAGTAACGTGTAATTATGAAGAAAAGAAAATTGTAAGGGAAATAATTTATTGCCTAACTTAATATTTTAATAATAACATCTTCAAAAGGTTCCAGAACCCACTTAACAATGCTGTTAAGATTGAGAAAAAACTTTGTGAAGATTAAATCGTTCTAATAGAAGCTTGATATTTGAAGTAATTCCAAGCGTCTAAAAGAGTTAGAGGCCACAAAATTTATTTACACGTGATTAAAATTAGAAGCCTGATGTGAGGCGAGGACTTATTATACAGAGAAAAATGCAATAGCCTGAAATTTACAGGCGCAATAATATAGTATAGTCAAATAAAATGGTTAATTAAAAGAACAGAAATTAATAACAAACATGTAAGAAATAAAGCTCTACCAAGTTTCTTTCCTAATTCATAATTCCTGTATTAAAAACTATATTATTATTTTTTTTTTGGAGTTAATGTCGTTCGTCAATAGTAAATAATTCTTTTGGGTTCGTTTGTAATGCAACCTTTTTTACTTCCTTTACAATGCTAAGGACATCGATTATATCATTCTGTAGTCATTAAAAGAAATAATTAGAGAAATAAACCTGCTAATTGTGAACAAATAAAGACATACCTTTAAACGCAGTACATTTTTTAAAATCACAAGGCTTTCTGGAACACTTCCCCATGTTGTTACAATTCGATATTGACACGTTTCAAGCACGAAATAATATTTAAGGTCCGCATCATAATACATGACATACATTCTTCCATTAAAACCTTTGTTGAATGTGTGAAATTAGTTTCAACTATACAAAGAAACATTTGGTACAAGTTTTTTCCATAGTTATCTCCATGAGTTATTCCATGTAGAACAATATTCTTCACTTTTTTTATCGATTCCTTCGTGAATTTCAACTTCTTCAGTATACGGTCTAACTGATCTTTCATTTCTCGAAATAATTTTTGTTTGTATGAAATTGGTTTCGAATTTTGAGGGTCTTCATATTAATGTGTAATGTTCCTAACCGAAAATCGAATATTCGGAAATCGATTTGTTCAAGGATATTTGAATATATATAATTTATTTCATAATTATTTTTGGATACTCGTAATTATTTTGAATATTCATAATCATTTCAAGCAATATTTGATAATTCACAAATGATTATCGATTGGTAACAAATAGGACCAATTTATTTGTAACTTATCCTATTATAATAAACATTTTTCAAAGATAATAAAGATAACTTATATTTTTACAACAATTAAAATATTTGTTCAGAAAACATTTTCATTTAAAAAGCAATTCCTTCAAAACCAAATGGAATTTATAGAAAATTTTCTCCTAATACTTTAGGAACTACCAATTGTATAAATCATTCAAAATGTCATTCTTATGCCTGATAAAAAAAAAAAAATGATGGTAGTTTTTTTTATTTGTATGATGATATAATTTATCAAATAATTTTTTTGATATAGCTTGAAATGAACAATCAAATTGATGTCCAAAAAGAGCTTTATCAATTAAAAAACAAGAAAAAATTAATAATAGCTTGTTAGAATTTATACAAATGTCTAAAATAATGAGTGTCCAAAATAATTACGAGTATTTGAATAAATATTCGAAATTCGTAATTTTGGATTTACGAATATTCGAATAGGGCGTTAGAATTACGGTTAGGAACCCTACATCTGTGTATGTTTCTGCTCCGAAATATTCCAAGTCATCAAAACAAAAGATAATATCGATGTTGTGTCCTGATTGTTTTTTTTTCTCACTCTTCTCTGGACAAATTCTTACGCACAATTGATGCCAAAGATATTTCTTCACAACTGGGATTACAGAATAAAGAATTAAAATAAAATATTGAAACACAAAGCTACTATTACATTAAATCCTACCAGAAAACTTCATACTCACTGATGAACTTGGATTTCCTCACATGGTAAGGAGACAATCATTAATTAATGGAACCAAAAGGTGGCAATTCAGCCAACTTTCAGAATTTCTATTGAGAAGTGGATTCCATGGAGCTTCAAAAAAGATAATCTAGTAAAAAGAATGGAAGGTAAATTATTATGAATGTTGGATATAAGTCTTATGTAAGCTTTCAATAGATAATGTAAAATGCTAGATATAGAAATTAAAAAGAAAATATTAGGGGTGTTCAAAGTTGTTCCTGTTCCTTGTTGTACAATACCTTATTAGGTAAGGAAATAAGAATCAACTTTGAGCAGAAATTTCCTAGTTGTTTCCATAACTTCTATATTTGGGATGATCTACATAATAAAATTTACGCGTTTTTTAACAAAGATGTCAACTCGTGAAAGAATTGAAGAGGCATTGTTTCTAAATCTATTCCAAGAAATAACTGAATTGGATGAATTTGATGAAAGTTTTTTTGTTTCACGTCATTATTATTAGTAGAAGTTACCTGAACCGGATAAATGTTTTGAACTGGACGAGGCTGTTGTAGATTATTAGTAGAAGCTATTTTATGATATTCTTGTTTTCTTGTTTTCATTTTTTATTTTTATTTTTTATTTTTTATTTTTATTTTTTTTTTCCAAATTTGGAAATGCAGTCAGGGAGATTTCCAAATTTGGAAATCAATTCTAGAAATTTTGTTGATCAATTCATATACACTACAAATGAGTTTAGAAAACACTCCCCCGTTATGTTATGTCGCGTCTTTTTATATAAAACTTTAAAAAATAACTGTTAAATAATACTCTTTTGGATATATAGTTTCATAATCCCTGCTCATCCCCAAAGCTTTACAAAGTAGTTTTTTCAGAAATAAAACTTGAAATTGCGATTTTTTTTTTTTTTTTTTTCATAGAATCATATGTATATAAATTATAATGACAAATACAACACTCAAATCAAAAGATTTACCATGCTTATTTGAAAATCTTGTTGAGAGATATCAAAATACTCTTTTAGTTCAGTGTGAAACTAAGGAGAATCAGAAACAGCATTTTGCATCAGGAGAAAAATCAACTGAAAGAGCAAAACTTTTGGCTAAGTATTATTTTCATTAATTATTTAGAAAATTATTCTATTTGAAAAACATAATAATCAACTTGTTGCTAATAATTATTTTATTGAGCATTTAAAAAAGATAGATAATTCAAGGTCATCATATATCATAGAAGAAAATGAATAAGAAAATTCATTATA